AGTTAACTACATCTTCTGTCGGTGTATTCTTGAAATTTTTTGTTAGCTAGAACTTTTGTGGCCTAACCTGACTTGTATCTATTTAGAAAGTGTAGTATACTTGTGCTGTCTTCTAGTGTGTCATGCTTTGCTCTCTTGGTGCAGGTTTGGATGTAATCCTCTTCATTTTTGAAAGAATGTCCAAAACTTATAAAACTTATAGACCTTGTGATTTGGTGACATTTAATAAGAATAATAAGAAGCTTTAGTATCCAACAGAAAATGTGTTTTACTCGTGAACTTTGATCTAATAACAATGCTCTATAAATACCAAGAAATTTTAAATATACAAAAACATAAAATGGGATGTCCATTCAATTAGCAGTCACAGTCCAACATTTCAACAATTAGTTCTTCTTGTGTAATTGATGGTGGCTATCGTTTTTGTGATCATCATCTGTCCCTTGGCTTTGTGATAGAAGGGTAAAAATTAACATTGACAGGATGTTTGTTTAAACCTTTTTGATTTAGTTTTGATTGCCAACCATTGATTCTTGTAATATTATTTACTTTTATTTAGGTTTTACTGGAAGTGAGACTCAAAGGAGATAACTGATATTTATCAGAAATATTAATTGTTCCATATAATTGAAGAAAGAACCCATTCATGACCATTTTATAGAGCTCTGTGGGAACTTTGAAATACTAATTAATTAATATTTCCCTCTTGTATGTCATACAGTTTGAGTGTGTCAATGTTAGCCAAGTGTCAATTCTATTGGGTCTTTTTAGTCAAACTTTTAGTTTAAAAACAAGTTTCATTTATTGTTGCATTTTAAACGGATTAGATGCAGTTAAAAGTAAGCCAGGTTTGGTTGTATGTAGTGATACTAGTGGTCAATATTGTGTTCACCCACTCAAATATCCTAATCATATTTACTTTAAATTTTGCACCATACTTCCAAATGTTGAGTTATTTTAACAAATGGAAGCCAAACTATACATATCAAATTCAAACTATACACTCAAATGTCCTAATCATATTTACTTTAAATGTGCACCATACTTCCAAATGTTATTTTAACAAATGGAAGCCAAACGATACATCTACAAAAAGCTAGCTTTTTTTTTTGTATCTGGATGAACAAAACAACAACAGAAGTATTAATAAGCTGTCTTTTAAAAAGCATGTAATAGTTGTTTTTGTACACTTATTTTTAGCACTGCAAAGTCAAATTTCTATTTTCTTCCCTTGTAGCATGATGGAACTTTATTTATTTTGTTGGCAGAAGTGAACTTTCAGTATAACATCCTTGGCATTGCTTCTTTTGATAACTTCTGACAGAATGTCTCATTGTCTTCTGTTCATTATTATCACATCCATTCTCCATATCAATTATCTGACCTAATTTAGAAGGGAATATCAGCAGACTTCTTATTAGACATTGGAATAGCAGTTATGTTTTAGTTTATCTTATTTATGTTTAAGTCTATCCTATTTATGTTTTAGTTTGTCCTATTTATGTTTTAGAGAAATCTTTCTGCCTTTAAAACTGAAGAGTCCATCCAAGTTCTGCTTCTCCCCCTTCACTCTGGTGCTAATGGACTTAACCTTGTAGAAGCCAATCATGTACTTTTAGTCGAGCCAGAGCTCAACCTGGAGGAGGAGGCCCAAGCTATATCTAGAATCTACAGGATTGGTCAAACTAGGTCAGGCATTGTTTTTATTGACTTTATTTTCTGTGTGGTGGGTGTCATTTGTCACTCTAATTTCTTGTCTATATACATGACAATTAATTAGCTTTAATGACCTATCTAGTTCTGTAGCAGAAGCTTCCTAGACTGTTACATGTAATCACAGTAACTCCAAATAGAGCTGCACATTTTGACTTGAAAAGTCTGTCTGTGGCATTTTACATCTCTAAAGATATGATTTTTTCCCTTTGCAACTTCTTGTGTGACTTAAGAGGCCAATACACAGCTGTGGTCACAGGTTGGGCATATGTAATCACCAGGTACCATTGCATTTTCACCCTCCTTTCTGCTACTGTTGTGTATGGCATCTGCAATCCTGAACCCTTCCTTTATGCTCTTTCTCCATGTGGATCTATCCAATGCTACTTTTTCCCAGCTGCTAGTGTCGATTTTGAAAAGCTTCATGCCCCATTTGCATACATCCATACAAAAGGACTTGAAAAGTACTAGTCAAGATAACTATTTAATAGACCAATAGATTACAACATTGGAATCTGATTTAGGGCTTAATAAGCTAAATTCTCCCTTTCAAAGAAGCTCTCTTTATGAAGTCTGTCTCCATTCATATCAAGAACAAATGGCTGCACTGACCTGTTTGAGACTTGGGACATGGTTTGGACTACTAGAAATTTTTTTTTTTTTAAACACATACTAGTTTTCATTATAATATCAAAACATTGAAAAGGGTGCTTAGTATTTTGTATTGTAGTTGTGTCAGTGATTCTGTATGACTTGATCACTTTCAGGCAAACCAAGATACACAGGTTTCTGGTGAGGGGGACAATAGAAGAGAACATTTTCCACATGGTCAAATCATTAAAAGAGTCCAGCTCTGAGCCAGGCAGGGAGGACATAGAACTGACTGTGGGACACATTACCTCACTCCTGCAGCAGCCAGGGCCAGAGGATGAGGAGGACATTGAGATTGAGGCTGGTAGTAGTTACATGAATAATCTTGCTGGAACAAGCACTGAGGGGCTAGTTCCTGAACTTAGCAGTAGTACAGAAGACAGTAGCAGTGACCACACTATAGCAGCAGGCTCTAGCAGCTCAACATAGTATACACTAAAGTACCTGAGTGCACTAAACTAAACCATGTCATTGTTCTCTATTTATAAAAGATTTGAAAGAACTTTATTTAAAGTTGTTGTTTTTCAAATGTTGAATTTTCTTTTTATCCTGAATGTTTTAAATGTAGGTGCAATATGCATTCATGAATATGTCTTGTAAATGGTACATTGTAACAAAATATACTCAATTACACAGTACACATGTGACTATGATTGATTCATGCTATAAGATTTATGTTGAACATCTTGAGCTTTTCTTTTAGAAGTAGTCTTTGTGAAGACCATTTTGTTTTCCACTGGTTCTTACATTGTGACTTTGTGATGAAACAATGATCACTTGCTATATTGAAGAGTAGGTCCAGCACATATCCATCAAGTCACTTGCTATGTTGAAAAGTAGGTCCAGCACATTGCCTTCAGGCAATGGTCACTTGCTATGTTGAAGAGTAGGTCCAGCACATAGTTTTGAGGCAATGGTCACTTGTTATGTTGAAGAGTAGGTCCAGCACATTGCCTTGAGGCCATGGCCACTTGCTTTTTTAATAAGTTCAATTTTTAAAAAATAAGTTCAGGGTGGCTATATATGCATTAAGGTGATCTCCCAGTGGGCTGGTTGGTACCTAATATAATAATATACACCCATTGGCTTGTGAGGTCAACATCGTATGGACAATTTTGAGTTACAAATTAAAAATTCTCTTACTTAAAAAAATAGTATTGTTATTGGCTCATGCCTTACCTTTATAAGAGATCTGTTATAATTTTGAAAGTGTAATAATACCCGAACATATTCCCTGTAATAATGGAATAACTCAAGCCTAAATATTTTTCTTTTGTTGAGTTTTAATCTCTTGAATGTACTATGCAATTAACAAACAACTGTATATGGCCAGGATTGTATAGTAATGCCAGGGTCGATTTTATGTATTGGTCACTTTTGTAAAAAGTAGCTTGTGAAATAGTCTGCTTGGCCTCCTCTGACTGTAGACCATTCTTTCTGCTCAACTTTATTCATTCTATTCCTGTGGCGTCACAAAGATGTACATTTTTTTTTGAATGCACTATCTTTTCAATTTACTTGAGTTTATGAGTTGTTGGTTGAGTCTATTATATCTTGTTGGCTCTTGATCAATTGTTTATGTATATATTATCCATTACATATAAACAGCTACATGTCTGTTACATGTACATGTCGACTTCAATTCTATATATTGGGATCTAGCTACATTCATATCTGTTGAGCAGTTGCTGTAAATATGAACTAAGTGTTTATGTGGTGCTGCTCCAAGAACCAAACTGGTGTTTTTTCTTTCATTCATCCACGTTTGGCAACTACTAGAACTGAGTGGGGAAACAAAACACAAAGCCATCTTTTCATTACAAACACAAGAGCTTCAGTTTGGAAGCTGAGGTCTAATTACAACACTAAGCCTCTCTAACTCAGGGGACTTGACTTTAATGGTTAGTTCATAAGTAATGTAGAAAAAGTCTAGCTTAAATCCTTTTTGTATTTCATTGGACTTGTTGATGCTAGCATAGTTAGCTATAGTTAGACTCAATAGAATATAAGAGCAAATTGTGCACTCACTCTTTATTTGAAATGTTTGAGAGGAAATTCTTTCTTTTTTAATACAAATAAGTGAGTTGGAGGATGGCAAGGGAGGGAACAAAATGATATGAAATGTTGTACACTGTTTTTTTAATGAACATTCAAAATATTTATTTTTTTGTCAGAATGTCTACCTATTCATCATTCATTGTTTATTATGGTCCTTGCAAAGTAGACAGCTGGTTCACCAACAATCAATTAATGAGAATTAGTTTAACCCACAAATAGTGGTTCACCGTAACTTGCCAAAACTTGGCTATGAAACAGTTCACACAACATATGGCTCACTTGCTCATAGTTCACCCACAATTTCTACACCAATTAAGAGTTTTTTCATTAACTATTGTCAGGTGAACCATTTGTCTATGAATGAATTGTCTATGAACTGTTTGTGGTGGAACCCTATTTCCCCAAGTGGGCATTAAATACATTTCCATATCCAGCCTCCTTCCAGTTACTTCCCTTAGAATGACCATATTGATTGGTTGTCTGCTTACACTTGTCTTTATTTGACTTGCACTAGAGCAGCGGTTCTCAACCTTTTATGCTCGTCGACCCCTTTTTACAATCCCCCACTCTGCCGTGACCCCCCCCCCCCTCACACACACACAGCAATAGAAGAATAGACAAAACAATCCATTTTTTTGATGGTCTTAGGCGACCCCTGGCAAATCATCAATCGACTCCCAAGGGGGTCGCAACCCACAGGTTGAGAACCCCTGCACTAGAGCTACATTCTTGATACTTCTATTTATAGATTTCATTTTTTGTAGATATTTACTTATACAAGTGTGAATAATATTTTTATCAGGATAATTTCAGGTCTCAAAATATTTTTTGACTTCATCAAAGGCAGCTATAAATGGGAAGATAGATTTCGGTAATAAATATTGAGATATGATTGACATGAGTTGTTGTTCTTTTATTTTTAAGGGACGAAAGAAACTGTTTTAGTCTTGGAGTTAAGCTCCTAGACATCCATAGTTCAAATTAATCAAGTAAAATCACATGAATGCCATTGTTTCAAAAAAGTGAAATCATGTTTTAGTTACTTCATATTTTTTTCTTCTTAGTAGCACTTTTTTTTTTACTTGAGATCGACTCAAAACTTTTTTTTTTTGTAGGAGGCATTTTAAAACGTCTCATAAGTAGGTCAAGTATAATTATGTGGTCTTCAATCAGGACGTCGACCTGGGCAATGCCTCTCAGCCTCACAGTGGCGCTGGGTTGGAAACGGTCGTTCAAGGAAACAATAAGGCCAATAGGGAAGCAAAAAAGAACCCCCATTGGTAGTGCCTAAGGACCAAGTCTATTGCAATGACGGGGATGGAAAAAAGCCTCAATAAATATCTCACTATCCAGACACCGTACCTTTAGGGGCCTTTTTTTATCGCGCACACCTGCACGGCCGATGTTGTATAGAGAAGAAACATGGGGAGTTTCTCCGATGTTCTTGGCCTTTGGCCTCGCTTCTAATCCTAGCGCCCTCTCTGGGATGGATCCCACGAGCCATCGGTAATAGGGCTGTAATCATTTAATCTGTCTGGATCTTTCTCATACAGAAGTTTCTTCAGGCAGACAGAGGGAGACAAGCTTCCAAAGGCCTCGAGTTCCAAGAGTCTTAGACCCAACTCTTAGGACAAGCTTCCATAGGCCTCGAGTTCCAAGAGTCTTAGACTCAACTCTTAGGACAAGCTTCCATAGGCCTCGAGTTCCAAGAGTCTTAGACTCAACTCTTAGTACAAGCTTCCATAGGCCTCGAGTTCCAAGAGTCTTAGACTCAACTCTTAGTACAAGCTTCCATAGGCCTCGAGTTCCAAGAGTCTTAGACTCAACTCTTAGTACAAGCTTCCATAGGCCTCGAGTTCCAAGAGTCTTAGACTCAACTCTTAGGACAATTACGATGAAGTCAGGAATTTTTCCCCTTCGTATATCTACACTAAACCATTACAAGACAGAAGTGGTCATCGACTAAGATGGACGAACTTGATTGATACACCACACCAATAAATAACGATGAAAGCCCCACCATCACAGCGCGTAAGCCCCGTGAAGAACGGCCTGGCAGATGGGACTGGTGTAAGCGAGCCTTTCTATCACCTTCTACGGCGCAATGTACTGCGGTAGCCTAGAGAAGGTGGTGCTTCCTTTCCAGCATACATTTCCATCATGGACGTTTCTACAAGGCGACACGATGAAGCCGAGAAAGTTCATCTTCGCCTCTCATCGCCTAATCCGCTCTACCTCCACCCTGACACACACACCTACACTTGCATTTGGAAAGAAATGAACCTCGAAACCTCGAATTATATATATATACATTCAAAAAAAGTAGTCGAAAGACAATCTTTTAGGTCAACTTTGGGCCTAATATGCATTGTGCTTGTATACATTATGCTCCGTGAGGAGCTGACAACGTATCCTTTTTAGTTATTAAATTAATAAACATCAGTCTTAAAAGATAATAAAAATATGTGTTCAGGACTTGGTAACAATAGATTCTGCTATGCAACAAGAAATGTATATAGTAGCTCTGTCTGTAGATAATGCTGATAATATGGGCCTATCTTGTTCTTTCTCGTAATTGACACGTTTGTATTTTTTATATAAACAAATATGTTCCTCCAAATCCGTTTTCCATGAAGAAGATTTAAATTTATCAGACACAGGTCCATATAATCTTTCTTTTAAAGAGGGAGGGTAGGAAAGAAGAGAACATTTGAAACTACCCGAGATTTTTTTTTTCAGGCTTTTTCTGTGTGATTTTGGAAACACTTGTTAGTTTTGGAGATCTGAGTCTATTCCAGTCCAACTTTTTAAAATGCCCAACCCTTTCTTCCATGATACCATTCGATCTGACAAGAAATCTTTATTCCTAGATGGCGAAGAGAATAAAAGAAAAAAAAAAAAGGTGGGGGACGCCAGGGAGATGAGAACAGCCGTATCGTCTGCCGTAAGTCGCTGGAGCAGACGTAGCGTCACGTACAGGAAAGAAGACATCCCGGCCTCTTTCGCGACGCGGGTTTTGTTTACGTCACGTCCGGGGACACGACTATCCAAGAAAGGGGAGGAGCCAAGGGTCATCGTAGGTCGAGCACGAGACTCGCCTAGACAAACTCTAAGGGGACGTCTCAGCGAAAGGACCTTTAGAAAATAAAATCAGAGAAAGTGAAGAAAGAGTGGGGTGTCGAATATAAGGGGGGGGGGGGGGGAGTCAAACGGGGGGCGATGGGAGAGAATAGCAAATTTAATGGACGACAACCGCCAACTATTAGCTAAGTAAACTACAGACTCTTAAAGGGCGGGTATTAGAAGAATGGGAAACAATATGGCGTCCTTTATCTGGACAGCCCCCAATCTTGTCTTTCATTTAATCATTCATTTCTAGTCTCTCTTTTTTTTTTCTTTTTTGAAATGTGAGAATTTTTGGTTAACCGAACAAAATGGATTTTAAAAAAATCAGTTGTACTTTAGTATTAAATTAATGGCGCCCTAATTAGGATAAGTAGATTATCTCAAACAAATCTGTTCTTCTGAAGACCAAACCATCGCTCTACAGGACTTGGTCTTTTCCACAAACTTCTACTCACAGACAAGGAGATGAAAACAACTGAAATACCACTTTAGTGTCTAGTCTAACAACTGCTGCGGTGTATTAGGATGAACGCTTTGATCTGAAACATCTACTGCTTTCACCACGAAAGAAAATACAAGATTGAAAATTATGTAACTGTTAATCGAAAAATCAATATTAACACTAGGAACAGGCAAACCCGCTCTGTCAACATTCCGCCATTTGCGTCTCTACATTCATAATGACACCACACTGTACCGATGAACTACTGGCAGGGCCGGATTTAAGTAAATTGAGGCCCAGGCGTAGAATGTTTAAGGAGGCTCCTACACTTTTTCGAAAGATTTAATACAAATCCACTAATTAAAACTACTTCTACCTAAAAGCATGTCATGGACTTGTACATTTAAATCTTTTTTGTTTCGTTCTTTAATATTTATATTTTGGGGTAAAGTTTCTGGAGGCGCCCCTGGGATGCCGTAAATCTGGTGCTGCATTTATATATACATATTTATTTATTTATTTATATATTACAAGCACGCTACGAGTGGATACGTCTTAGCCACGTCAGTGTTGCCAACTGTAAAATTTAAAGTATTGTTGGTAAAAAATGAGAACTTTCTGACCCATTGAAATTCAAACATTTTCTTCGCTGTCGTGGGAAGCCTATTTTGTGGAACCCTGGGGCAGGACCTTGCAAGGCCTCACATCCGGCACTGACTACTGGAAAATAAAATGGGAGAGGAGAGATATTTTTTTTAAGTAAGTAGAAAAATTAAACTATGTACCGGTATAAGACGCCACATTGAAATATCGCTATTGACAACTAAATAATAGAAATTACAAGCGAAAGAAACCAGAAATTTGATTTTACACTGCTAACCATACATCTTACAAACACTGCCAATAGTTTGTACTTCACAAAATTCGCTTATGATGCGGCTCTTCTTGCCCTGCTCTCAGAGACCTCAGACGTAAATGAGTATTTCAAAGAAATAGAACACATTGAAAAATACTGTAAAGATAATTTTTTATTATTAAATGTAAAAAAACAACAAAGAAATGAAAATCGATTTTCGTAGTAAAAAGAAGGAACATAATATTGTTTCTGTAGCTGGAGAGACTATTGAAATAGTTCAAACTTTTAATTATCTTGGTACTGTCCTAGACAATAAACTAAATTTTACTGCAAATACTGATTATATCAGCAAAAAAGGGCATCAAAGATTACGATTACTAAGAAAACTGTCCTCGTTTAATGTTAGCGAAAAAGGCTTGGCTATGTTTTATCATGCTCATATCTGCAATATTTTAAGTTTCAATATCACTGCCTGGTATGGCAATCTGAGCATTAAAAATGAAAATAAACTTTATAGAATCTTAAATGCTGCTGGTAAAATCATTGGCAAAAAACAAACCCCATTTGGGCAGTTGTTTGAGACAAACATCTATAAAAAAGCTAACAAGATCCTCGAAATAAAGAATCCCCCTTTGTGTCAGAATTTTCTGATTTTACCATCACAAAAGAGATACAAGACACCGATAGCAAAGACAAACAGACACAAACACTCTTTTGTTCCCCTGGCAATCAAATCATTAAATAAGAACAATCTGGTATAAACTTTGTCACATGTAAATTATGAGTGAGTCTGGTGTGAATGTACACTTTGGTTTCTTATAGTTATAATGTTTTTTGTTTGGTGTAATGCACAAATTGTAAGACAAATTTCCATACGGACAATAAAGATTATTATTATTATTATTATTAAAATGCTAGCTATTTATACTTGTACACTTTCAGTCACTCTGTTATCTATACGTAACCCATAAATCGCATTTACATACTTCCTATAGAGCACTCTTCAACCGTAGTTGATGTTTGAATCTTAAAAAGTAAATCAAATTTGTCTAGCGTTACTTCTTGTTGCTCTCTAGACCCGATGCATATGTCATTCTATTGAAAAATCAAATATACATATTTTAAGCATGTAATATTAAACCCTTTTATAACTAGAATTACAACAACAACAAAATCTGCTTTGTACTTAAACAGTGAAAATGTATATGTGTAATCAAGGTCGGCCTTACGAATAGCGAGCCCCCCTCTTCTATTAAAAAAAAAATAACAACTATTAGATCATTATACGAGCATTTGTTATACAACATGCATAGGAAGCAACTCATACAAAATAGGTGCCTGTGGGTTAGATAAAGTTACGTCAATCTTACTGATAGACCTACACTAAATATGTTCACCATTGAAGTCCTACATTTTTCAAAGTCTGTGACAAGAGCGTGCCGCGATTTCTACGCCACTGGAATGAAGCACTTC